CCCTGTTCAACATTAAAACTAACATTAAAACTACTCACTATCAGCAGAATTTAGTACTGACAGAAAGACACACAGAATAAACAAATGGCTCATGACAGTCAACCTGGAACCAACGCCATGTACGTAATCAGGTGATCTGTGACAAAGGTGACCCTGCACTGCCCTGGACAGTATCTTTGGTAAATGAGCTGGGTTAAAAGGTGGCTTATTCTTTCACGCTGTACTCTACAATATATGATGACGTTTATTTTAGATCTAAATATAAAAAGCAAAAATTAAAAATTTAGAAAAAGCCCAGGTTATTCATACGAATTTAAAGTAAGCAAAGAATACTTTAAAAGAACTAATTAGAGACAGAAAAAAAAATGACTAACTGAACAATTAAGAACTTTCCCTGGAGGAATCAGTAAGAAAATGAAAACTAAGCCGCAAAGTAAAGAAGATATTTGCAAATAGTATTTACTAAGCAGAGACTTGTATTATTATTATATTAAAAAAAAACTTCTATAAAGCAATAATAAATTAAGTAATGCAGAAGAGAATGGGTAAAGCTTGTGGTTTTGTTAAAACAACAGCCAAAAAACATGAAAAGGTACTTGACATGGTTATCACAGAAATGAAAACTGAAACCATGCAAACACACTCCCCAGCTCCCAGATTAGGAAAGGGCAATACCAAATGCTAAAGACAGCTGCGATTCCTACAGCTAGAGCTACATCAATGAGTGTGTTCTGGAAAACCCTTTGGCAATACGGATGTACCGGAATTAACTACGTGCTAACTTCACACTGTGAATCCTAAGTATGTACTCTACCATGTTTACCAAAGCCAGTTTTTTTTAAAGATTTATTTATTATTTATATAACATTCTGCTGGCACACCAAGTCTTACTATAGATGGTTATGAGCTGCCATGTGGTTGCTGGGAATTGAACTCAGGACCTTTGGAAGAACAGCAAGTGTTCTTAACCTCTGAGCCATCTCTCCAGCTCCACCAAAGCCAGTTTTAAGAGTACCTATTATTTAGGATATGTGTTATTTATATGTATTTATGTTATGTATTATTTATGATAGTCATAAACACATTCTTAAAGGAAACAAAAGCACAAAAATAACAAAAGAATAAATAGCAAAACAAACAAAAAAAAACCTGTTGCATAGTTATAAAACTAGATGTTGCACAAATATGATTATCTATTGGACAAAATTTATAAAACATATTTTTATCACCAGGCAAAGTTCTATGGGACATTACTGTCTGGAACAAGAATAGATGAACTCCTCAAATCTGATTTAGGTAAAATACAGAATAAATAACGAAGATCATACAGTATGTGTCTTCACTCACACAGGTTGATTAACACACTGGCAAAACTAAATGTCCTTAAACATCACGGTGACCCCTGTGGTTGGTAGACTTCTCTAGAATAAGGGGCAATGAGCCTAAGGTTCTGGTTGCGTTGATTCAGACCAACGGCTTTAGGTACAGACATATTCACTACTGAGACCACATATGATCTCCTATATATGAGCTGTGATTCAGTAAGAATACAGAAGGAAAAAAGGTCCATTGCTGAAAAGTCTATTGCTGAATTCTTTTTCAATTCAGTGTTCTCTCCTGTTAGTTTTAAAATAGGCATCAGCATGAGCCAAGTATTAGAAAGGATTTCAGGCTATGTAGATCCATTACTTGCTTTAATTTGGAAAAACTGCTTTAGGAAATTTAACATGTTAAAGTCCATTCTGTTTTGAACGCAAGCAGATAAGGAGCGCTCTGTACCTCCCTTGGCATCCAACCCAATTGTCATCACTCTTTTCCAGAGGTACCTTCTAAACTCAGCCATGCTGTCTAAAACACTGACATGGAAGATTAGCAGCCTCTGTTCTCTCTACAATAACAATTCATTTTAGACCCCCTGGACTCTCGCTGCCAAAATTTTAAAAGATATTTCACATGTACTATCTTTTGAACATTGAAACCATCTTAGCACTATTTGTCCCACTTCCACACATGAGAAAATTTGGCCCAGACTATGAAATTAAGGTTTCATAAGAAATGTGAAAACTCCAAGATGACTTGGCTTTTTCATGCTGGAACTCATAGACTGGTAGATATTTGTCACAGCATGTAGCTGGTACTAAGGCACTAGCCTCTTTGAGCCCCTTCCCATTGTGTAATACAGAGTAAGTCTAGAATAGAAAATGTTATTTTACGGTAAAGGCTAAGTAAACTTGGAGGACTTCATCTACAGAGACTTCACATGTCATTTCATGTTATAAATCAACGGTACACTCTGCAGTAGACATCTGTGAACTGGGCCAGAATCATTTTTCCTCTTCCACCAGCAGTACTCAAATTTCCCCCAGGGGTCGTCAATCACATCGACCAACTTTCCTCCCTGTCTATAGAACTATCAAAGCATCCAGGCTGGGCCAACCCAACACTTTTTCCCAGGAATCTGAAGTGAGTGATGAAAGAATGAAAGTGGCTGAAGTTCATCTCTACCAAGCACAGTCCTTCAGTTTCTCAGGCCTCGTGTGAGCTCACACCGTCAAGAGTTTTCTTCTTACTTCTTTAGCCAAATGTTGGCTTCTGCAGCCTGAAAATCTTTGGCTCATCTGACTTTCAGTCCTGTTTATTACAAAGGTGGAGATTCTTCAACGAACCAGGCCATGGTCATTCTGTGAAGAAAATTCCCTTGTGGTTTTTGATTTTGTTTTTAAGTAGCATTTCTTATTCAACTGAACAAAGACAGGAATAAGGTAATACAGCCTTAGAATTTGGGCAATTTTTTTTTCTTTTTTGAAAACAGCTTTGAGAACCTTGAGGGATTTTTTAGGAAATTAAAAAATAATAATAATAATAACTTGAACGCGGCACGTTCCATTTTAAAGAAACGTTTATGTCTAGATGTGGGTATGCTTGAACATATACAAGAATGTGAAGGCCAGATGACGACCCTGGTTCCATTCTCACTAGCCTGAAGCTCAACAATTAGGCTAGCTAGCTGGCTAATGGGCCTTCACCTTTGTGTCCCCAACATGGAGGTTACATGCCTGGTAATAATCCTCAGCATTTTCACCTGGATTCTGAGGAAAGAACTCGCTCTTCAAGCTTGCAAGGCGAGTGTTTTACTAACTGAATCTTCCTCAGCCCTAATGAGGTACCTTTCTGTGAGGCGTCTTTCTTTACTCTAAGCAGGCACTGTAGCACTGGTCACTTAGTACCCCTGCACCCCAAACCAAAGGGAAAGCCAGGTGCCACAGCAGCGGTCCTCAGCTACTCAGGCAAAGGGAGCTAAAGGATAGTTGCTGAACCAGCTTGGTCTAGCCTGGTCAGTCTGGACTAAACTTAGACACCATATGCATATACACACAAGTATTTGTTAGATGGGGCTTCAATCTAAACAAAAAAGTCGTTTATTTTTCATGCTCATGATATGCACATAGCCTGGTAGTTTTTTTTACACAAAATTATACTGAATTTACATGAGGTGGAGAGAGAGACTGATTTCTGCAAGCTATCCTTTGCCCTCCACATGAGCACCATAGCATTTGAGATCTTAGATTTTCAGATCAGGGATGTTCAAAATATAGAACAAAAGGAAAGGTAGAACTGTCAACTTGACGGTAGCATAGGCCAAGCCCTCAACAAAGCATTTCTTTTCATGTAGCAGCAGCACATGAGGTACTTTTCTCTTGCAGAGACTGGCAAGAGGACAGACTATCGAAACTTTTACATTGCCTGAATCCCTGATGTCCCAGTTCACACAACACAAATCCACTGCAAAGGGATACCAGGATCCCCTCCCTATGTAAAGTGTTCTACTTAATGAGCAAAAGCCTCTACTTTGTTCCTGGCATACTGTGGGGAAAAATATTACCAAAGAGCATGCTTGCTTCCCGCAAGCTACGTACAATCTTACTGAGGAGATAATGCACGCACATATGAAACAACCACAACAGGAGTACAGGAAGAACACCAACTGCCAAATCCAGACCTTCTTCCCCAAGCTATAATTCCAAACAGCTTCCTACACATGCTAACACAGAGGCATAGGATTGTTTCCTTTTCATTAATAACCAAATTCTAGACCAAGGCAGAGAATGTAATCAAAAGAGCATATCTCTACAAGATGATGGAAATTCACCCTTTTAGAAAGAGCTAAAGAATGAAGTAATCTCAGGATCATACAATTTACATAAGCAGGTTTTAGTAAATAACAATGTCTTTTATCATCAGCTATGAACACTTGTATTCAGAGAAAAGACAAGATGGTATTTATAAATAAACAAACACCAGATCACTGTATGTTCAAAAGAAATCCTAAAACAAATGTTCCCTCGACTTGGGGTGGGTTGAAGCAGCTCACCAATAAATAAGCATGCTTGTTTAGTACAGAACTCCCAGGGACAAGATAATGGATACATACCTACACTCAAGGAAAAATTAATCTTGGTTTAGTAAAAGTGTGCAACTTACGGCAATTTATTACAAGCTGCTTCCTAAGTTTGAAATCCTTAAACTAGAGTGAGGCTTATAAAATGACACGCAGTGTGATACTACCTGATCCACAGCTCCCTCCACAGCCAGTGAAATTCTCATTCAATAAAGAAATACAAGCAGTACTAAGGGAAATTACAGTGTTGCTGCAGCATTCCAGAACTTAGAACCAATTCTGCAACTGTGAACAATTTCCTAGTATCAAACAGGGCAGATAATGTTTAGGCTACTATTGCTTTGTAACACATGCCAGCCAGTAAGGTCAAAAGTGATAGACAAGACACTCAAACGTGGACCTCTGGCCTCCGCAGGTAAGCACCTATATACCCATGCATACACAGAAGAGAAGGGAGAAAAGGAGGGGATGAGGGGAGGGGAGGTAATGGGATCAGGAAAGTGGGGAAAGAGTATATTTCAAACCCCCAACTGTCCATTCTAGAAGCTCTGCAACACCATTTTTGCACCATTCTGCTAACTGTTCCAATGAATCCACTTACCTTATTGTGTTCATACTTGTAGGGGATCTTGAGAGTGTCCATAGCTCTGATCATGGCCTGCATCGCTGTGAAGATGTTCTGATACACCAGTTTGGTAAAACCTCTCTTGTCTTCATCAGAGTATCCCGATCCATGGATGATCCTCATCTGCTTAATGAAGGTGCTCTTGCCGCTCTCTCCTGTCCCTGGAATAGAAAGGGCAGAAGCACATTAGATCATGACTCCTCTGTTAGTTACCCAATAGCAAAACTAGACACTGGCCTGAATTTCAGACCCCAAAAGACCTGCTGAGAGAAGCATCATACAAAGTCAAAATGCCACCTACAAAGGAAACTTAGAAAATTAGATGAGTAACAGTTCACTTTAAAGGAATGAACTCAAAAACTATTTGCATCTTAGACAGCCACTAAGCTTAGATATATCAAACCCCGACTTTGTAGCCCTGCCACTCTGAGAAACAAGTCCAACAGCATCATGGGACAATAACTGAGGCTTGACAAAGCCTCTTACCAGGGCATATTTGAAATGCATCCTGCATTCTGGAAATGGCAATACCCTTACACTGATGCATTTCAGAAATAAACAAGAGGAGAAGGCCTAAAGCCTAAGACATTTTTCTCTAGTCTGGCACTGGGGCAAAAGTAGACAACAAATTCCTCATAGACCTGAACATAGGTTACAATCTGGACCATAGTAGCCACAGTGTTTATTTCCAGGGCCTGGTTGGTTGAGTTGCCCTCTCTCTGTGTGTCATTCATGAGAAACACAACAACCCAGAAACTTTCTCTTAAGATGTTTTTCTTCTAATTTTCTTATCTTCACCATCCTCAATATACATTTGTAAATCTAAAAACTTCACATTTATAAATGCAAGTGCCTTTTTTATGTTCTTTTCCATTCCCCAACAATGTAAAGGACATATATTGTTAAAAAACACTCTAAATATTTAAATATGAAAGAACAAAATGAGAATGATGACCTTCCTCCCGGCAAGTCTGCTGAGAACAGGATGAAAAGGAAGGGAAAATGGGAGGGAGGGAGAAAGGGAGAGAGGGAGGGACAGAGGGACGGAGGGAAGAGACTAAGAGCTGGAACTGCAAATCTGCCCTCATGCCATTTTGCTTTTCAGATGTTTAGATTTCATTGCGGTCTTCATAAACAATCATGAACATTCAAGAAGTACTAAAACTTTTGCCAAAGTATCTTAAATAACAGCCAGTCAATTCAGACTCACAGATGTTACAACAAAAGGTGATACTGAGCCCAATGTTCTACTGAAGGTGGTTTGTTTGCTGCTCACATGCCTGTGGGTACCTATACACACATGTGCAGATGGAGGCCCAATGTCAGGATTGCCTTCATCACTTGTCACCGGGTTCATGAGAGGCAGGCTCTCTCAGCTGAACCCAGAGCTCACTGATTTCCCTAATACACCTAGACAGCCTATTCTGAGGCTTTCTTCTCACTTTTGGAGCTTTGCAATTATGTGCCCAAATTTACAAGGCGATGGGGATCTGAAATGAACTCTAGTCCTCACACTTGTATAGCTCAGGCTTTATACACTGAGCCATCTTTCCAGCCTGCCCTATGACTTTAATATATGATATAGAACACCCTGAAATACAAAAGTAACACCAAAAAGTGAATGCTACTTCACATTTTAGTAGGGTCAAGTTGAAAATTATAATGAATATTCTACAATCCCACCACAGATACCAGAAACATCTAAAAATGTCTATTTCAAGTAGAAATGCAGCCACAAATTAGTAATCATCAATTAATAATTTATAGTAGTATCTTTACTCTCTTAAGCAATTAAAAAGATGTTAAGAAAAAAGCTTATAATGCTCCTTTTTATTACTGTCCTCATCAAAAATTTTCTTACAGGCAGAGTGTAGATAGTCCTTTACACTATAAAAGCAGCAGAGATTTTGTTTTAAGAAAAAAAAAAGTATGTGTATGTGTGAGTGTGGTTCTGTACACGTGAATGCAGGTGCTGAAGGAGACCAGAGCTGTAAAGATTCCTCCACATCTTTTCTAGATTTTATTCTTAATGATGTGTTTATGCGTGTTGGTAAGGGGAACATCTATGTGTGGACATGACCCATGAGTGCAGATGTCCAGGGAGGCCAGATGAGGGAGCTAGATCCTGTGGACCTGAAATTATAGGCAGTTAGGAGCCACCTGACATGGTTGCTAGAAACCAAATTTAGGTACTCTGAAAAGGTAGCACCTGTTCGTAACCACTGAACTACCTCTCCAGCCCCAAAAGATGTTAATTTGTAAAGTTAGTGAAAAAGAAAAAAGCAAAAGTCAGGCAGTAGGACTACTTTTCTCCTGGTAATCTTAAAAGAAAAAAAAAAGTTTTACATAAATACATAATTTACATATTTACTCTTAAATAAAAAGCTAATGCATGAAGTATGAGCCACACTGGCTTGCCTTTCTTTAGAGCACTTTAGGCAAAAAGCAGTCAATCCCTGTCACCTCTCTGGATATATTCCTGGAGCCCTTAAAAAAATTTTTTTTTCTATTGCCAGAAGCAGAGCCAGGACTCCTTTCTCCCCATTCCCATGGTGCTGGATGCTGCCCAGGAGGCTGGCAGGTTCAGATTTCATTAACACCTTGCCTTTGCCTTATACTCACAGCTAAGCCATAGCTGGAGAGGCAGCTGTGAGCAGCAGGAGCTATGTTCCTAAAGCAGCTACTCAGATATGCAATACCCCATCAAGAGACCACAAGCTACTGCTGAGTAGTCCCTCCAAATGGCTGTCTTCTCTGAGTTCTTGGCTCTTACCAGCCCTTACTACTGACATTTGGTCGACACTTTCAAAAATTGCTCCTCAGTCACCCAGTGGAAGTATGTCAACTGTTTCTAGCCAGAACTTATAACCAAAACCTAAAGGAAAACAGAGTACAATTAAATGATGAACAGGAAAGGGAAGGATGGTGGCTACTCTCTCTTCCTCTTCTGCCCTGTGTTCCATAAGCTTTTCTATGAGTTATTCTCTGGTTTGTCGAGTACATCATTTTCAGTACCTCACTCTCAAGACACTCTTCTGGAGGCCAACTACGATGAAGAAACAGTTAAACTAGATACGAAAAAGCTCCAACCAGAATTCTGGACTGTGAGTTTCCCCTCAGTACAAGAAATACAGCAACTCATTAAACCTATTATAGAGAGGTTATGTGCATCTGCGCACAGAACCCCTCCTATTCCCCATACCCACCCTTCTGTCTCTTTCTTTCTTTCTCTCATACAAAAGACACAGTGATTTGTGCTCTCTGGTACTACTTTTGTAAACAAAACAAAGAAATTTGTACACAACCTTTATTTATACTTTTCCAAGCACTATGACATACATGTTTTGCCCTGTGAAAATTCAGTGTTATGAATGTCCATATCATCCTACCAGCCTCCTACTTTTTGCTACACGGAACACATCTCTCATCAAATAATTTAATAACATTTAACAAGCAAATCAACATACAGGAGGATATGAGACCCATTAGAAGTCTGCTTTTTCCTTCAGTAATTCACTATGAATATAGCTGGAAAATGTCTCTAGAAAAGTTCTATGTATCTTTAGAAACAACTCTGCAAAGCTCCTCAAAGTACTCAGACTTAAGAACCATGCTGTCTATTAAAAACCAACTCATCTAGCATTTATAATTGGCTGAAAAAAAAAAAAAACACTATGCTTTTTCTTCCCTACTCCCCGAGTCTGGATAAAGGACAGGGAGTATCCCTACTTCACTTTGCATCTAGCCCGTTAGAACAAACATTAAACATACAAATTTAACACTCTACCATGGAGTGCATAGCTTGGTAGGCTGGTAGACTTGCACCATCATACACACACAGTGTTCACAGTTCAGGTTTTGGTTGTCAAGATGTTTTTAACACAATCAAAGCCTACATACAGAGCTGACACAAACTCATTTTTAATTACAATTCACAGGAAGCATCCATACATTTATGCTAATTATTCTGCCAATTTGCCCAATGTGATCTGCAAATGATTCTGTCAAAAATGACTTTCAGAGGTGGCATGGCTGTCCCAAGCACCATGTTGGGTTCTTCTAGTGTTGCCACCATGAAGAAGGTGGTTCAGCAGCTCCGGCTGGAGGCCGGGCTCAACCACGAGCAGCTGCAGACTTGAAAGAGTTCTGTCTGCAGAATGCTCAGCACAACCCTCTGCTAACTGGAGTGTCTTCAAGCACAAATCCCTTCAGACCCCAGAAAGTCTGTTCCTTTTTGTAGATATACATCTTGAGGTTTCTCAAGCCACTTCTCATGAACCAGCGAATATTCAAGACAACTAAATCTGAAGTCTGTACCGAAGCTTCTCTGTCGCACGTGCCATGGTACACTACAGTCTTCTACTTGTTGGTCCTTAACATCTACCTCTCTGAATTTTCATGGATTTCTATTTCACAAGGTTTAACTATTTTATATACACTGGCTGTAGCATACAATAAAACAGCATACAAAAAAAAAAAGACTTTCAAATCCAATCTTATATTATCTTAAGGGTCATAACTTAGATTTATTACTGAAAGCAATCATAAATTTAGTGGCTTGCCCTCTAACTAGCATTTTTTGTAAAAGTAATCGTAGACTCATTGGTTCTCTCTCTTACACCCAGGCGACCTTCCTGAACTACTCTCTTATAGCTGCCAATGGACAGTCACACCTGCACAGGCATCCATCAACGCTCCACTATGTAGCATGCCACTACTACTCCCGTGGCTGCTGCTCCCGTGGCTGCTGCTCCCGTTACTATCACTACCGTTACTATCACTAGTACTACCATAATGCTACTGCTGTGCCTGTTCTGAAGAACTCTGGTACCCATCTACATACAAGGACCCAGCAAACAAACACTGACATTCCCAGGAATCCTAACAGTCCACCCCTGCATCCTCTTTACCCTTGGAGAAAAGCAAAATACAGATCTAGGAGAACCCCTCACAGGCTGTACTGCATCCACACTGCTTCTAGGTGTTTTTAGATTCTGTAGATAAAAAAGAAATACAGTCAAGTGAACTGCAGCATTGAAGACTATACAATGACTACATTCATTTCATCCTGCCAGGGCCTTTCATAAGTGTATTTGGAGATTCTCAAGTCTGCATCTGAAGCCCTTAATGAATACAAAGGCTGAGGCCAAATGCCC